CAAAACCACGCTTGCCCCAGCCCCCTTCCCCTAACCCTCCCACACCACTGCTTTCACTTGTATACTTGCCCTTCCCCCCTTCCCTCTCTGCTCACACACAGCTGTGTTATTTCCAGTCTGCTTTTACCATTCTCATGGTCTTGTCGCTTGCAGATTTCTTATACTTTTTCTTCTACCCTGAAGATGGAGGCGATACGTTCCTCCGAAACGTCGGTTAACACCACATATACATGGTGCCAAATCCCAGAAGACTGCTTTCTTCACAGCTGTAAATGACTCTACAGTCCACACTGACTCCTCACACCTATCGCCCAAGCTGTCTCCAGAGACATTCCAACGGCACACGACGGTAACAAAGGAGTCCAGAGTATCCGCTTTAAATGACTCCTACAGTCCACACTGACTCCTCACACCTATCGCCCAAGCTGTCTCCAGAGACTTTCCAACGGCACATGACGGTAACAGAGAAGTCCAGAGTATCTGCAGTGAATGGTTCCAACAATCCACTTGGAAGTCGACAGCACACATATTCACAAAGCAATCACGCTAAGTCATCCTGGCGCTGACCTGCAAGATAATCACACCTTGCTGGCCCCTGCCGCTGTCTGATAAAGGGCCCAGACGGACAACAGCACCAGAGCCGGAAGTCTTCCTGATTGGGAGCAATGTGATATAAGTTCTGCAGACTGGGAGTAACAGCAACGGTCCGGGGGAGAGAGTCTTCAACAAAGGTTGCCGCTCCTATCCAGCCTAGGATAGGGCTAGTGGGGAATAGGTTAAACCTCCTGCTCAGAAAAGAAGATAAGACTTAATATCATATAAATCCTTGCATTACCCGACCCGGAGTTTTACAAATATATCACTCAGCACCGAACAAACAGATCTACGATAACAAAATGTAGTTATTCTGAAAGAAAATATGGCTTCAACTGAGACACATGTGCCTTTCTAATAACTCAAGTGTCTGGATTAGCCAACGAAACAGTCACAGGAGAATCAAACCTTGCTATAGTTAAGTGGTACAGACCACCTATAGTCTAGCTTGGCGGAACTTTGCCACGACTTAAGAGCTTTATGGGTGCAATCTTACAAGAATCAAATCACCCACATGAAACTCTGCCCGCCTTCTAACCGCATCATATCTTCCAGCAACTCTGTCACGAGCCTTCTAAAGTTTCCCAAGGCCGTGTCCCAAAATTCCTTTATGCTCTTAGAATCCTTATCTAGTTCGAGTTCATATAATTTCCACTTAAGCCCCAGGGGATGGTTCAATTCCTTACCCAGAAACAGAGAGGCAGGAGTCACTGCAGTCAACTCGTGCCATGCTGAGTTAAAGGCAAGAGCTAACAACGAAAGATGTTCATCCCAACGTGCACGCTGAGAGTTGTGATAAATAATCAGGGCCACCTGCGACGCCTCGGGCTAACAGGGCGAGGTGGTAACATGCCTAATTCCCCACAGATGTTGTAGAAAGTTCAAGATCTGAACACGGCTGCATTGTCAGAGACAATGGACTGGGGGACTCCAAATGATGGAAAGAATTTCTCCATCAGGCAGTTCTTCACCACTTCTGATGAAATCATCCTGACAGGGTACATACAGACGAACTTCGAAAAACCGTCTAACACCACCAGCACGGCAATATTCCCCTTGTGACAATGGGGCCGACGAAGTCGATAAAAATACGCTCCAGGGGCCTTCTCACTACTATGGAGGCCAACCTTACAATCAGGGGTCGGTTTTGCTCTCTGGCAATCCTGACACCCCCTCATGAACGTACAAACTTCCCTTCTAATGTCTCGCCAAAAAAAAAGCCTTGCTGATATGGTTAAGCATTTTCATCATTCCCAAATGTGCACTCAGAGTAGAACTGTGGAAATACTCCAGCACCATAGGTCTCAACGACTCAGGAAGAAGGTAACGCTTCAAGTGGGCTCGTGAGTGATGATAAACCAACGCACCGTTAAACTTCTTGAAATTACTCACCGTAGGATCTTCTTGGATAACTTTCTGGTAAACAGTCTTGTAGAAGGGGTCTTTCCTTTGATATTCTCTGATGGACTAGAATGCCTCGGGTAATGTCCTAAGACCACGCCAGAAAACGTAGCTCATTCTATGGGATCCTCATATTGCCTAGCAAGGGAATCCGCTACGACATTGGCCTTGCCACCAATGTGAATCATTTTGAACTTAATGCTTTCATTTATTCTTCTCTGTCTCCTGGTTTTTCCTTCTGTTCTTAGAAATCTCATCTCAGCTGCTGTTAGTCTGCGTAGTCTCTGTGTTTACCAATGCACACATTTCTGCTCCTTAATTTAGTATTAGTCTGTAGTAATTTCTAAACAAACACATCTTTCCCATACCATTCAAAATTAATTAATAATAAAATTATAATGAAAGGACCATTATTTATATTATATTGATACTATTAATTTGTTTCATAGACTGCAGCAAAAGTCGATTTATGTACTCGAGGCATCAGGACAGGCTTCTTTCCACATGTATCAAAGATATACAAGGAAAAAACAACCAGTTTTGAAACAAATACTGTCCATACCATTTAAGTTATTGTTAGCCTTCCACATTTTTTATTGAAATTAGGAAGCTACACATACTGCCTCACTGCAGTCGACCGTTTCACCCGTTGCCCAGAAGCCATCCCCATCCCCATGATAACTAAAATTATGATAGAACTTCTTTGGTAGATCAACTGAATCATTTTTGAGTAAAGGAGGAAGGATTATTACCATTTCAGTTTTCACCTGCCATTTTAAGATAATTAAATGTAGGGGATTGTGATGGGGAACAAAGAATGAATGGAAGGGGAAGAAAATACATTAAATTTTTTTATTTGAAGTTTTTGTTTAATGAAATTACTCGTGATATGAGCTGTAAATGGTAGGATACTATTAAACTGCAGCTTAGGAAAATGTTGTACTTTGTGTCCCATAATGAGATGACTTTCTTGAGTCATATGAGTATCTACTGACTTCCCATTCCTCAGATATGACTATGACTAAGCCTTTACTTTTGCTTCTTGCATGTATGTATTGCAGCTATGGAGATGGTCGGCCCTACTAAACGGCTGTATGCTGGAGTGGTTTGTCAATTTTTCTTTACTACTGGCTACATCCTGACAGCAGCCTTTGCTTACTTTATCAAAGACTGGAGGATTCTGCAAGTTGCTCTCTCTTCTCCAGGCATTCTTTTCCTGTGTTCCTGGCGGTATAAGTACATAATGTATTTGCATTAGACACAGGTTGGGGTTGAATAGTGAGAAATGTCATATTATGTTCTCTTCACATTTTACCTCTTACGTAATGAAATGAAATACATTAAAATACTAGGGACATGTAGGAAATGAGACAAATATACAATATGTTAGTTGAAAATCTCATGTAAAGACACTATTTATGAGAGCCAGTCATAAATGAAATACGATACAAATCCAGTACATCTGGACAAACTAGGATAGTTCCTTCCGGCTGAGGAAGGTATGGCACCGACTTCAGTAAGTGTTGTCAACTATTCCCTAAGTTTAACTCCTCTACCATGTAGCTCATTTCATTACAAAAATTTAACCTTTTGAACATTTTATTTGATTCCCATTAAGGGGAAGATTTTTCCAGAATGGTTTAGGGACCCTCTAGCCTTCTATCCAGAGAGTACTGGATGCTAGCTTCTGGGAGTATAAAGCCGACCATTCCCCAGTACATACTGATAAAAAAAGCCTTCATGACATGGCTGACCATTCCCCTTTATGATGAAATGTGATCCAAGGAGTGGGAAGTACATTGCCTGCTGCTTGCTTTACCGAGATGTTGTGGCAAACGATGTCAATGACACAGTTGCTACACTTAAGAACAAAGAGGGGATCCAGTTTGTAAACTGGTGCCCAACTGGCTTCAAGGTCGGCATCAGTTACCAACCTCCAACAGTGGTCCCAGGAGGTGACCTGGCAAAAGTGCAGCGTGCTGTGTGCATGTTATCCAGCACTACAGCCATTGCCAAGGCATGGGCCTGCGTGAACCATAAGTTTGATCTCATGTATGCTAAGCGTGCCTTCGTTCACTGTTACGTTCATGAGCGGATGGAGGAAAGTGAATTCTCAAAAGCCCGTTTGGATCTTACTACCGTGGAGATGGTGTTATGAAAGCCAGGATGGGTGTGGTCTAGGGTACCTGTTCAAGGATATGCCCCTAGGGTAGTGCCCCTTCCCGAAACACACTGAAACACCTTTCTTTCATCTAACCCAAAAGAAAGTAACATTTATTAACTCAATATAAACACATAATGAAATCAACAAATAAAGTAATTAGTCTGAACAATTTTAGTCTACTTGCAATCGCCTCTTCTCTTATGCTGAGGTTAAGTGGCCAGGCTGAGACAAACAGATCTCTGCTTACAGAATACAGCAACTGCAGAGATGGCGAGCATGGTGAGGCCTAACACTTGTAGTAGAGGTCTGTGGTCAGCCTGCCTTCGGTTGCCTGCCGCCTAAGTGTCGCGGCTCCCCCTGGAGGATGGACCGTTATCTAGTTCAAACACTTGTGCCAACTGTCAAGAAGTGGCCCTCACTTCCCTTGCGTAAACCTTAAATTCTCTGTTTTCCTCAGACACATTGTAACAAAGCTTATAATTGGATAATCCTTCTCCTTATCAATTTTCCCATTTTCTAAGCTAACAAGCGATTGCTTAGCATCATTCATGCGTCATAGGATATACAACTCATCAACTTATAACACTTATTCCGAGTTTCACTTTTAGTAATATTATTCATCACCATTACATTCGTTGTTAGTTCTCCTATGCAGGAAATCAATGTGGTCAGACTTCCCACTTTACTCACTCTGTGTTTTTCCCCATCCACATCCTACATCCTGCGGTCTGGTTACATTGGATACAGTCTGTTTGTACATTCAGACAATTGTTTAAATGATTAAACATGATTATCAATATAAATCAATACATATTTCTTAATACCTTTATCCTTATTAGATAACATCATTATATATGTATCATGTATATATGTACTTATCATTCGATCTACGGGAAACTGAAAATAACACTGAGGAGCACTAAATTTGTGCTCTGAAGTAGGGCAATTCTTACATTTTTCACACAGTTTCAATGCACTTACTGCATTACTGCGGCCATTTTGTGCAAGAGTAACGGAGTGTTTCTCGGAGGGATATCCATAGCAACCGATAAGAAGAGGAATTACATATTGGACGGTGGTTGGAGTTGAATGTGCTATTTTGAATATTTTGATGCAATATAAGACAAATAATAATGGTAGAGGAAAAGGTTAAGATACTTAAGCTTGAATGTGAATGTCACTGAACAGTATGGTGGCAGTAAGATGGATATTGTCTGATGGTGATATTATATTGAATGTAGAAATAAGATGTGTGCGAAAGAGAGATGGTGAAGTTACTGGAAAGATGCATAATGAAAATAAGGGAGATTATAGAAATGATATTTTAGATACAGAGCTAGATTTGAAAGAGTTATGTGAATTCAGACACATGGCAGTCCATCCGCGTGTGAGAGAGGTTATGAATGCCGTGATAGTGAAACTGGAACATGAAGTAAAAATAAGTAGTAGTAACAATAAAGGACTTGAAGCTCCGGGAACTAAATGGACTGAGGTAGCTGTTGGAATAAGAAAGAGGAATATTTCGCATGACATTACATGTAATACTATTCAAAATATTCCAGTCATAAATACTATGGAAATAATCAGAGTAAAACCGCCACAGTACACGAAGGAAAAGAGTATTGTAACGTGTCGGCAAACCAGAGGAGTAACTGCTATGGAAACGCTAAAATAGACCGTTACAGAGGAAACAACAATCGCTCCATTGTAGATCTAACAGGAGTCTCCATGGTTATAACAATGGGTTATTGCGTAGGAAACGCGGAGCCAACAATGCAGCGTTTCCACTGTTATAACAGAGGGTTCGTTACCTATCAGCAGCCAAGGTTATAAAAGCCCAGTTTCGACGAGAAGTAGTCAGTCTCGGATCGCCCGTCTAAGAAGTCAGTTCGGAATATCCGTCTGGGTCCAGTATCGCTGGAATATTGTAAGCAGTGATTGTGACACTGCAAGTGAAAATGCCTGTAAAGTGTGTGTAAATGAGCGAAAGAAATAAACTCGCTATATCAAACCACGGCGTGAACTTATTTGTCACGTTATACACCCAACACGCTACAGTATATTAGGCGAGCTGGAATTGGCAAAAAGAAAAATAAATATAAAACACAAAATGGTGTTAATTGGATAGTCATGCCAGGGGCTTTGCCAGTAAATTACGGGAGAAATTTAAAGAGCAATATGAAGTGTCAGGTTATGTTATACCTGGAGCAAATGTCAAAGTATTGACTAAAACTGCACAGCAGGAAATTGGTGGATTGACAGGAAAGGACATACTCATATTTTGTGGAGGGTCAAACGACATTATGAAGAATAATACCTCAAGAGGAATTAAGTGGATACATCATTTTTTGTTGGGGAATCGACACACCAATGTCATAATAATTATGGGTGCCCCCATAGGCAGGATTTGATGGAAACATCAATAATTAATGATGAGGTTAAAGTTTTGTAATAAAAAGCTGAATGACGTTACCAACAAATATAGGCATATGACTATGATCCACATGGACCTAGAAAGAGTAGATTTTACGCGTCATGGACTACATATAAGAAACTCGGGTAAAGACAAGCTAGTAATGCTACTAATGGAAAAAATTGAAATGCAGCTGCAGGAAATACAAATTGGAATGCCGATTAGTCTAACATGGAAGGAGGACACAACAAAAACCTCAGCTGATGATCAGGGAATAGCTAGTGTAGCGTCGCAAACTATTCCCCCTAGAAGACGTCGGAAGATCCCAAATACAAGTGAGGATTTTTTATGGGAATAACTCAAAATTGAAACAACAGTCAGGAGAATTCTCTAGTCATATATCATAATATAAGAAGTATTAGAAATAAAAAAGAAGAATTAGCTATTTTTTTTAAATGATGTATATAATAATCCTGATATTTTATGTATTAGTGAGCATCATTTGAGTGCAGACGAACTATCCATGTTCTTCATGACAAAATATAAAATGGCAACAGGTTTTTCACGTAATATATCTAAGAATGGAGGAGTTTGTATATTAGTTAAGAATAATATAACATATCAAAAGCTAGATCTCAATAAGTAGGGAGAAGGTTTTCGAAGCCTGTGCGGTGAAGATAATTATAAATGATAAGAAATTGTATTTTATGTCTCTACAGAGTACCAGATGGGGACATCAGCCAATTTATTGAGCAGCTGGATGCTACACTTTCATATTTAGTAAGACTTAAATTGGAACTGATAATTTGTGGCGATACAAATATAAATTACCTTAATGAAAACCATAAAAAAATACAGTTACAGTCCTTATTAGATACTTATAATCTAGCTCAAATAATTGACTGTCCGACCAGAATAGGTCCCACTTCTGTCACACTTATAGATCATTTCTTCTTAGATAAGAATGTCTTCAGTAAGTTTCAAACCCATTCCGCAATAAATGGGTTTTCAGACCATGATGGACAAATCTTAGTACTTGAAAATTTACAGGTGATAAAGAAAAGGGACCATGTAAGAGCATTTACGGATATCAATGCTGAGTACATACCACATTTCCAGCGGGCATTACAAAATGAAAATTGGGAAGCAGTTTATAATCAAGAGAACGTTAATATGAAATTTAATAAATTTCATAATACCTTCTTAACAGTTTTAGAAAACAGCTTTCCCCTGGTGTATAAAAAAAGGAAAGACACCAATAAATGGATAACCAAAGTTATACGAACATCTTGCAATCATAAAAGAGCTTTACACGACTTAGTTAAAAAATCAAAGGATGAAAGATTGGAATCAGTGATGCAGTTACCATTTATATAGTGCTGACTGAATAAAAACTTAAACAGTTAATTGGTGTTGAGTGTGACTTTCTTGAGCCTAATGCCCCACTAATCACCCAAGCCGTGGCCAGTCAACACGGCCTGAGAGGAGTCGAATTTCTCTACCGGAGCTAGTAGAACCAAAGAACGGTTACACTGGATCATGTATGTTATCATGATACCAAAGACGGAGCCTTCCGTAGAACGACAAGGATATTCGATTGAGAAATACGATTTCCCAGGGCTGTATTATGAACTTTTAGGTGAAATCGCATTGTATAATATGGAGTGGCAAACAATTGTGTATGTTGATTTGATGGAAACTGACAGTCAGACTGAACAATTAGGCCAATATATTGATTATGTAAATAAAGTATGCCAAACCACTGAAGTCCAGAATTGGACAGATTGCAATCACTTCACGTCTCTGTCGCGAGAAAGGTTTAGGCAACTCCAGGAAACGGAGGTGTTGAATAAAATAACGGGAAAGCATGGGAACGCTAGAGGAAGACGAGGTGCACCAAACTTTGTAGGCGAAATTAGTAAGGTACTATTTTGAAAGAAAAATTACGAAACTATTCAAAAACACGAACGTAAGAATAGCTTTTAAAATAAATCATACATTAGGTAAAATACTAAACCACAAACAAAGCATAAATTCTTACGAACAAAGCGGCATATACAAATTGACCTGCCAGGAGTGCCAACAAGTGTATATAGGTCAAACAGGCAGAAAATTGGTAACACGCTATAATGAACATATAAGAAGTATAAGATTCAATAAAAATGACTCCGCCTATGCTCAACATATCTTAAATAGACAACATCAATACGGCCCAATTTCGCAAATCATGGAACTGATTGAAATGGCAAGAAAAGGTAAATTAATGAATATAAAGGAAGAATATCAAATCTACCGCCACTATAGGGATAACAAATTAATAGATGAGCAGAAACAGGCAAAAGAGATCAATAACCAGAACAGCATGTTCGACCTCATTACTACTTGTATAAACACACCCCCTACCACGTCATAACACACAAGGCTTTAAATAACACTGACGTAGAACTCCCACTGCAGTACACAACACACAACGCGTAAGAAACATCTGACCATAAGGTAAGCAAGGATCAAATACAACACTAANTGAGGGCAATTTTCGGATGGAATGCAAGAGTTGAACGTGCATTCAATATTCCTAGAAAGTGTTGTGCTTTTACACTTCGACATTTGTAGCAGCGTCCACGCAGCATATATACTGTGTACATTAAACAACGCCAGTGTTTTCATGTGTTTGTAATATGTGCCTCTGATGATGGTTTTCTTAAACCGAAACATGTAAGGCAAGTGAGATAAAGAAGTGACCTAAAAACATTGTTACACTCGACGGATTTTTCATTGACTTAGTAAGGTACTGTTTGGGACTTTAGATGCCTATGATGTGGAATACTATAACGCACAGATTAAACACTTTGAAGTGGAATCGGAAGATACGGCCAGCGTGCTGAAACAACAACTTTCAATAGTTAGAGCTTCATTTAGAGCCGTAAATAGCACTACATCTGATATGGAGTATAATATCCAAGTGATCAAGAAAGGGCTAAACAAATTAAAAGGTTACATGGAAAAGTTTTCCACTGATACGGAAACCCACCTGAACCTATTAGACGTAAAGATTACAGCAGAAGGGCACATCGCCCGCGTTAATCATGCTATGGAGGCCATTCAAAGAAGTTTGTATTTAATGATAGAGCACGTATTAAACGCACAAAAGGGTATTTTACAACCCCAGATAGTGTCACCAAAACTACTAATATAAACCTTACAGAAAAGTGCTTCCATGTTCCCAAAAGACACCATGGCACCGTTCACTCTGAGCAAGGATTCCAGTAATATATTATTGACAATATGTGATGTACATATATACTTAAGGAATGGAATACTGAGTTATATAACAAGTTTACCATTAATTAACAGGGGTATATTCAAGGCATTTAAACTAATACCATTACCCGTAGAAGTAGAAAGGAATAAGTTTGTGTATATCGAACCAAGTAACAGTGTCTTATGTATTGACCAGACCAGGCAGTATTATTTCCTGACGAGTAGGGAGGAATTGAGACTTTGTAAATTAGCACAACCAAATCGCTACTTGTGTAAGCAAGGTCAACCACTTCTAAACAGCCATATGCAGGAATCTTGTGAAGTGAAATTGTTACACCCCCAAGTAAGAATTCCAGAAGTTTGTGATGTAAGAATTGTTCATGTGGAACACACCATCTGGACGTAATTGGAAAACAGGAATGAATGGGTTTATTTCATACCCTTCAGTGATAGCATTACAGTTGTGTGCCACGAAGGAGTACCAGTGGAAATAAAAATAAGGGGTACTGGAAAATTGAATATAGATTCCGGATGTAAAGGATATAGTTTAACAGCTTTGCTAACTACAACAAATGAAATTAGGTGAATTATACAGGAAATTGTGGAGATTTATTATCTAAAGTAGAAACACAATTTGAGTGCTGTGAAAGATTTGGAACTTCCATTAATTTAAGTCACATCAAATTAGATATGAAACTGAAACCAACTGTAACGCATATGGAAGACTTGAAATATGCTAAGCTATAGAATCTCTGAACTAGAAAAGTTGGCAAAGGAACAAGAGTGGAAAAGGAAACATTTTACATACCACATGACTTATTCCGTATTAATGTATATAGCTATAACTGTCATAATATTGTATGGATTGTATAAACTAATGAAATGGCTAATCGCTCGTTGGAGGAAGTGTACAGTACTCAGGGAAAGGACCGCCACATCTGAACAAAGACTGAGTCTTCCTATGGGAACCAGTGGAACAGGAAATGTAGTTAACATTAAAATAAAAATGAGTAACGAGAGTTTAGCACTAAACCCCGAAGCAATCCCATTACAGACCATTCTCAAAAGCCCGTTTCAATCTTGCTACTTTGGAGATGCATTATAAGGAAGTTGCCAAGAATTCTTATGAAGGAGGAGAAGGAGAAGGTACTGAGTGTTATGTTGGCAACTCTCAAATACTGAAATATAATGTTAGAATTGGCAACATTGTAGTAAACAATTTAAGAACTAGGTTATTTCTTGTTACATAAGTGATGTTTACTGTTATGTGTAAGCACATTTATGTGTGTAACAACAGTATCTTTATATTGTTATGTGTTACTATGGTTATAAGTTCGTATGTATATAAGGCGTACTTCTGTGTCTTAATAAAGCAGGAGTAGAGTGAACTGTAACCGCACCATGCAGGAACCTCAGCAATGTTGTTGATTTACATTCTTAATTACAATGTACTACATGTAAACGAACTGTATTACTCTTAATACAAGATGATACAGAACTGACCCCAGCACCAAATCAGTTTGTCAAGTCCAGTACGCAAATTCAAAGTGCTACAGCCTTGTAATGTGTAATTCTAGTTCACATCTTTAATAAAGAGCAACAGTGTAGGTGAAGCGTGAGTTTTAAGTGTTCTCTCTCTCCTTGTGTGAGCAAGGCCCAGAAGTCGCCTGAGACAGAATCTCGTCCAACTGTCTGAGCAGTCGGAACCCCAAACGCCGCCTATCCATATCCCCACCTTTGTTTTCCCCGTTCCAAATTCGTGGATTTCACCCAAGTTCACTGGCACCCAAACAAATTCAAATTCAGAGTAATCCCACACCCTACCCTGAACCAGACAAAAACAAGGAAGCAGCAGATGAAAGTGGAGACGAACGAAAGGGCACCAAGAGGACAGGTATAAGTGGCGAGTTATAAGCGATGACCAACTTGTGGGGCTAGAAGTATCGCTGAGTGGGTGACAACACTTATATAAGTGGCACAGCCAATGCAGGGCGACGACGTCTGCGCAAGCACGAGACCAAGAGGAGGGAACACAGCACGTCACAAATATCAATCCAAAATATCGAATTAAGACGGACGGAGCCATCCTACAGCACCAATGCTGCACACAAGGTCAGCAATCTACTCACAAAAGGTTAGTGACGAAACGCTAAAATTGAGAGTCGAACGCTGAGAAGTGGCACAGCAGAGACTTCAAGGGACATCCAGAGTTCACCGGCAGGGGAGAATACGTCTACGAGTCCCACTGAACCACAGAGCAACTTAGGCAGTGTGAGTGAAACAGCAGGACCGACCCCCAGGAACAGGAGTTAGCAGAACAAACAAAAACCGTGATAACACAGGCAGAAGTGGCTAAAACCAGTGCTCAGGGTCCCCTTCCTAGTGCGACCACCCAACTGGAGCAAATGCTTGCATCGTTCATGACAGCAATGCAACACAGTAATGCTCAATTAAGGGCAGACTTACACTCAGCCCAAGAGAGCATTAGGGTAGAGGTAAATAGTGTTAGGTCCGACCTGGGTTCGAACCAAGAAAGCATTAAGGCTGACATCCTGAATGTGCAGGAAAATTTACTGACACGTTTCGATCAACAAACCCAACAGCTCAGGAAGGAGTTCACCAGCAAGTTAGATGCAGAAAGTCGAGTTACGAACCTAGTAAATCAGGTTCAGAACAAGACCACTTCAGAGTTAGCAGCAGTTAAGAAGCAATTACAGAGTGTTAGTACAGAGCTAGACTCGCGCTTAGGCCAGTCCCACATTACTACTCAAATAGTAATAAATGAACTAGCCGATCAGCTGCAGGAACATCGAGCAGAGGTTGAAACTAGGCTCGCTGGTCAGAAGAAGAGACTCGAGAAAGCCTCGGAAGGGACCACTCAGGAGAAATCCGCAGTGGAACGCCATTTAGACTGATTGGATGCTAAGGTTAGGGCACTTGAGACAAATTTTAGCGAACTGCCAACCAGGCAAGCTTTGGCACCCATGGGGCGTGGAATAGGCCACGACACCAACTCTCCTTCTGAACACCAAACGAATGACCGCGCTATGGAGACCAGAGGGACATTGGTAAACGGTGAACAGGTTAGGGAGAATGCCAGCTGTTCTTGCAGGTCAGCCCCTGGTACTGCTAACAGCAATGATAGTGTGAATGTATGTAGAGTGCATGATACTACTGAAACAGTCACCCTGTCCAGTTTTCTGAACAACTCAAAACTACCCCTACCGCTATATAACGATGCGACTGAAATGAACCCAGTATTTCACATACAGAGGTTATGGATTTTCACAACGTACCGCAACAGTTACGCTTGGTGGTTGCACACAGGTCCATAGTGGAATAAATAGGGAGACAATGGGTAGAAGCTGTAAATCCCAACTTGAGGATTACGAGACATTCAAGAGGGGGTTCTTGACAAACTGGTAGTCCAAGTCCCGACAGAGTTCTGTGAGATATGCTTGTGGGGACATCCCACATAGCACGCACTGCAAATTTCCGCTCCTCATTTTTGCTATTTTCTCATTTCTGAAATGTTCAGTCCTTGTTTGTTTTTAAAAATTCTTAGATTTTGCTTGAGGCTTGTGTTTCGTGCCGTGCCAGACATGGCGGGTGCCTCGGTGCCTGGCTATCATGCATTCTGGGCAGAAAAAAAACCTCACTACAGGCAGAATATAAGGAAAACGTGAAGCAATATCCTGCAGCAGATGAACATTACAGGAGACTGTGCAAAATCATTTGTGACATTGAGGATGTGGCCAGGTTCACACCCGCCACAATTGGGGAAAGTGTTGAGTGGGCGGCAATAGTAAGTGCCGCTGACGAAATCAGAGAGAGCTATTGCAAGGCTCTCAAGGGCAAGATTTTGTTCAGTGCTCCGTACGGAACCTACAGTTACACTGAATGATCTTAAGTCCCTAGTGAAAGCCAGAACATTGGAGACAACAAAAACCCCGATGAAGCCCTCCCAAGAAGAAGACTTCAAAGAGGTCTGAAGGCGGAAACGGCAGAGCACAACCGAGTCCGCTCCGATTTCAAAGAAGGCAGCGGCTGCCAGAGGCAACACCCAGACCAAAGAGGTGACCACCCGTAACTACTTTGCTCCTCTCAGGGTGACAACAATGGACACCGACACTGCTGGTGATGGAGCCACTGCGCTGGAGGAGAGAGCCACTACTCTGGAGGTGGAATCATCAGGTAAAGCAGGCAGGCCGCCCCCAATAATTCTAACGTCCACAGTGAACCTCATTCACTTGCAAAAGTAACTAAAAAATGTGGTCAGAGGTGACTTTGAGTTCCGTAATACCAAAAGCGGGACCAGAGTCATCACTAAAAGCATGGCGGATTTCGAAGCCGTCAAGTCCTATCTACCCAACAACAAACTTTCCTATTTTACCTTCTTTCACAACTCAGAAAAACCCATTAAGGCTGTAATCCGTCACCTCCCCCACAACACCCCGGCGGAAGATATTTCTGATGGATTGGTGACCCTGGGATTTGACGTGGTTAGCATCAGGCAGATGACAACCACCCGAGGGTCGCCTTCAGAAGGAAGGATAACCAGAAACCTTCCCCTCTTCCTTATAACCTTACCCAGGATGGCAAAATCCCAAGAAATATTCAAACTACAAAACCTTTGCCATATTTCCATCCGGGTCGAGGCTTATAGAGCACAGAGTGGCCTCACGCAGTGTCACAACTGCCAACAATTTGGCCACGTCTGGGCTAATTGTAAGCAACCTCCCCATTGCATGTGGTTCGGGGGTGGCCACCTGCACAGAGTGTGCCCCAAGAAACAGAACGCTGCCTCCACTCCAGCGTGTTGTAACTGTGAATTGAAGGATGGAGAGAAACCGCATCCCGCTAACTACCGTGGCTACAGACACGCGAAGGAGGAACTGCAGAAGAAGAAACTGCTGAGAGCACCCAAAACCACAACAGGAAGGGTGTTCTCATCAAACATCATCACCCCTGGAGTCTCCTTCGCGGTGGCTTTCCGAGGCCACACATCACAGGAGCAGCGGTCTCAGACTCGCCAAACACCAGTGGCAGTTCCACCAGCAGCCACGAAACCGAGCATCCCGATCCCTGTACTGGAACAAGACACAGGTCAGTCAGCTCAGGCTTCTAATGTAAACAGTCAATCTCTCGACAATATGTTGAGAGTAGTGACTGTAGTACAGCAAATTATGACAGAGGTCAGTGGTGCAGTGTCCGAGGAAGAGAAAATAATGCCCATAACTAAAATCGTTCTAAACTTAATGAAACAAAATGGCCACTAGGGTTCATAGGCCCCTCAGAGTCATAGAATTTAATGCGAACGGCATTGGGAGGCAGCGCTATGAGCTCAGTAAACAGCTGCAAGACCTACACGTAGATGTGGCCGTTTTCAGAGACACGTCTGAAACCTCATGAGAGGTTCTTTATTCCAATTTACCACCTTAATAGAATCGACCACCACTCGGGCAGAAAAGGCAGAACTGCCGTTGCAGTAAGAAAAAGGCATTCCCCATAACCATGTAGACCTACCACCCCTTGTTTCAGTAGAAGCGACTGGGGTCTGCATACCAATTGGTAATAGCGAAGTGCTGCTTGCAGCTGTTTATAATCTCCAGGCAGAGCCTGGAGTGATGCTGACATCACTGAGCTCTTAAGCTTCAGACATAAGTCTATTTTGGCAGGTGATCTGAATGCTAAGAACCCCTTTTGGAATAGCAGAGTTTCAAACCCCTCAGGCTTGAAACTTATGGATTTATTTGATATGAGTGATTTTGAAATCTCAGCACCACAGTGCCCCACTCATTATTCCCCTGCGGGAATGGTGATGTGTTAGACATTGTGGTTCACAAAAATATCAGAGTGTCAGATGTCATCGTCTCTGATATTCTGGACTCAGATCACCTACCAATAGTATTCCACATACTGGATCATGTTAAAATTAGGAATCTTTCAGCACCCATTGAAAAATTTACAGACTGGGAGCGGTTTCAAAGCCTCGCTTCTGAATTAATATCACCTAAACTAGAAATTAATTCGGGGGTAGAAGCCGATAAAGCGGCACGCAACTTTGCAGCCTCTACTGCTTCGGCATACAGACTGTCAACAAGTAAAATTACACTTCCGGACATAAACAACGATCTTCCTGGTCTAGATCGATCGATAAAATATAAACAGAGGCTATGAAAACTGTGGCAAGAAACCAGGGAACCAGCGTGTAAAACGGCAGTCAATTGGGTAGCCAAATCAATCAGACGAATGACTCGAAAAAAGGCACTTGAACGGTGGGAAACAAAAATAGGTAACGCTGAAGTCACACCTCAGAGTATATGGCCCATTGCGAAATCTCTCTTCAAGAGAGACAGACCAAGGGCACCAACTGCTATTCATGGTTCTTCTGGCCTTAAATTTTATCCTTCTGAAAAAGCCAATGAAATTGCCGACTGTTCGGAAATTCAGTTCACGCCACATGACCTGTGTGACAAAAACCATGAACAGCGGGTGGAGGCTAAAGTTCAAGCTCTGCTGGAAACCGTAGACGACAACCCCCCTCAAAGGATCAGACCATGTGATGTACAGAAATTAATAAAGTCTCTGAAATTAAAAAAGGCCTGCGGAATTAACGCCATCCCAAATGAATGCCTCAGGCACCTTCCAAGGCGACCATTGGTTCACCTAACCCATTTATTCAATCATGGTTTTCG